TTCTGTAAAGCGTATCTAAGTTCTGTTAACCACACTGTGTAAATTGTATAATTTTGTGTTGTGTAGTAGTGTTGTATTTAGGTTAAGTATAAGTGTTAGAAATAGAAGCCCCGGAGTTGTTAAGTTGTAAAAGTAGATTTATGACTAACTCCACCAGCTGCCCTAAAATAACCATAGAGGGGCTGGCTTTGGATGGTTCTTTTATTATCATTACTTTGGCTTTGTTTTTTGTATTTTTTATTTGTATGCTGCGTTGTCTTAGGCAAATTAGGGATAGTGATTTGATATGAGTGAATTGTAATCAAAGAATTGTAATCAGTTGGGTATAATTGTGCCCAAGCTTTTCTACGCAGTAAAAGTATTGAGCAATTGCTAGTTTAAACACCTATTTGGTAATTATTGGTTTCACCATCATCCAGTAGTTTTCACTGGGTAGTCAGCTTTAACCCTTGAGGCTCCCATCACATCACCGAACCAAGGTGCAACACCAGTATGGGGAACATTTTCCTTGAATATGGGACTCTGTCATGTATTCAACACCCATATGTGAACTGGGCCACAGTCAAAGACCAGTGGTGTCTGAAGGTCAACTAGAAGGTAAACTTCATACCATAGAACTACCATTTACAAGTGAAATGGATTTACATGCACTACAGAAAGAAGGTGAGTACTATTCAGATATCCTGATTTTGTAGCCTATAAAATAAAAAAGCCTTTGCAAACAGTTCCAATATACCCAGACACTGGATCCCTAATTTTAACACATTCTCCAGCTTTCTTCAGTACTTTTCTCTATTAAGCAGCTTATGTTAGTTGCTTTCTTGACATTTTAAGAGTTCAGCGTAGTCACCTTTGAACAAAAAGCCTATTTGAAAAAGTAATATCCGTCAATTAAAAAAATGCCGACCCACTCACGAATATCAAGTGAGAGAATGAGTTAATGGAGAACTGCTCAGAATGTGAGCTCCCTTAAAGAAGCTCATGCCTTGCCAAAGCATGAAATAAAACTCCCATAAAATAGATTTACAGTCAGCGCTCAACTATATTGCACTGCTAAATGTTCCATCTTCACCTGCCTTTGCTTTTATATCTTGTTCTCTGAACCTGATTTGTTGTGCTTAAAAAAGAGTTTATTGTTCATACCCCAGTCCTATGTCTAGGCAAATATTTTCTTTAACAAGTCAGACGCTGAGCTCTATTAATTATCCTGACTGGTGTGCTCATGTCATAATGTTTTCTACTGCAAATTACAGGTACAAATGAATTACAAGCACAAATACTGTTGAATCTTTGACATGTCATTGTCCTCCAATTGACGGTAATGCTCCTGCTGATGTACAGAAAGAGTTTATCATGAGAACAGTCTGCTGTAGCAATCATTCCTTGAAGGCAACAGATGCACTTATGTATAAATGAATGAGACCGCACCAAATTTACAAAAGAGAATATTACCTATAAGTCAACCTTCCATCTGATCCCACTACTAAGATTGCCACCATTTAATAACTAGGTCCTTTTTCTTCTAGGGGAAAAAATCATGGGAAAAGATGCTGAAGATGGAAATAGGTTGTTGGCCTGCCTGTCTCTGTACAAGAAACCTATAGCAAGAAAAATGTTCTTGTTCTGTTTAGGATATGAAATAACTTAAAAAAAAACCAGTCTTACAGCACCTTAGAGAGTAACAAAAAATGTAGATGGTATCATGAGCTTTTGTGGGCACAACCATAAGTTTCTTATATCCAGTGAAAACAAACTTTGAACTGCACTTGTATATCCTCTCATCCTAGTCACTAACATATGCCCTTTCCCCCCCACAGACACACATTTAATTTTAGTTATTTCCTCTAGGTTAGCTTTCACACTCATTCACTTAAGGCTACGTCTACACAGCACGGCTATTTTGGGATACCCTGCATCTCCACAAGCTGCCTTTTATTTTGAAATAACGGGCGCACTATTTCACCATCCTGGTAAACCTCGTTGCACAAAGGATAAGGAATGGCTCGAAGTAGCACGTTATTTCAAAAACTGGCACTGTGTAGATCTGCCACATGTAAAATAGTCTATTTCAAAATAGATTCAAAATAAGAAATACAATTTGTATAGCACAAATTGCATATCTTATTTCACATTTAGGGTGCTGTGTAGATGCACTCTTAGTGTGAAAGCTAACCTAGTACTACATAGTGTCCCAAAAATCCTAATCCAGACAATGCCAAATTTAACACAAATGTACTGTTCCCACCAGATCCCATTATTTTCTCTCTCAGAAGGGATCCCGTAAACATAAAAGTCTTTTTTTTTCTTTTAGCTATTGTTACTAAGGTCTAGTCTACACTAAAGATCTATAGTGGTATAACTACATCACTCAGGTTCAGCCATGTGTACACTACAGACCTTGCACTGGCATAGTTGTACTAATGCAGCTGCACCACCATAAGAACAGTCATGTAGTCATTCTATGCCAACAAGAGAAAACTCTCCCATCTGTCTAATAAAACTATCTCAACAAGTGGTGGTAGATTTGTCTCTGGGACAGCTCTCCTTCCAACAACGCAGCATTGTGCACACTACCACTTTTGCCAGTGACATTTTGGTCACTCAAAGGTGTGGATTTCCTCTTGCACCCCTAAGCAACTTAAGTTTTGCTGGCGTAAGCGGTAATGTAGACATGACCTTAGAGTACTATACCAGATTTCGTTTGCTTTGAACTGCAACAGACTATGTTTATACTGTGAGTCCATTCAGGGACTTGCACAGTGGAGCCTTCACTAATACACTCCAGCATTTTTAATAAAATGCAAACAATAGGCAGCATTTTGTATTTCACTGTTTCCTAGAATACCTAAACAGTGGTTCATCCACAATAATGGTTTCCACAGCCACAATTGTTCTGTGATCAGCTAAACTGAGTTTAAGTAACATACTAGGTTGTGCCACACAGCCATCAAAGCTGTGTGTTGCCTATTTGCATATACATGCACAACTATCTTAATATGTTTGTATTATTGTATTCTGGGAAAATATGGCAGCATTCTTAATGACTCAGCAAGGAAATGTGGGAGGAACCCTGTACTACTAGAAAGATAAGTGGGTTCCTGGACAAAGCTAGGCAAATAATAGATTTTTTTCATATTTGGCAGTTTTAAAAAAGTCATTTTGGATAAGACAATCAATTTTGGAGAAACTGAAAAGTAAAAAAAAAAAATCAGGGTTGAATAAAGCTATAAGTTTCAACAATTTTAAGACAAAATTTAATAAAAACCAAAAACTTTTCAAACAATTGTTTTCAAACAAAAATATCATTATTTGATTTTTTTAATGTGTCTTCTAAGAACAATTTGGCATTTGCAAATGTGTTGTTTTTGACAAACAGATCATTGTCAGAATCCGTATTTTTCTCCAAAAAAAAGTTTAACCTGATTTTTTTTTTGCCAAGATCTGTTCTGGGAGTTGTTAGAGGAAACCAGAGAATTATAAAATAATATACCTGCATACAACATCTTTCAGCCCAAAGCATTTTACAAACAGAGGGTCAGGTGTGGTATTTCCTTTCAGAGTGCAAAGAATTCCAGTATCTATGTATGTAAATGTGTCATCCTACTACTCAACTCTTTAGCCACCTCTGGGGAGGTGTGAGGGAGTAGTTTAATAAGGCTACACGACTGTTTAGAACAGAAAATGAGAAGCAATATAACAAAACTGCATGGGAAAATAAACTGCAATCTTGTAGCCCTGCTGGGCCCAAAATATTAGACACACAAGGTGGGTAGACCAACTAAAATAAAAAATATTTTCCATCATCTACCTTGACTCTTTTGAGAAACTCGTGCAGGCAGGAGCTTGACTTCCACCAGAGCAGGGAGTATTATCTCACGTTCTCAGTGCCAAAGATGTGTTTAATTTATACAGAGTTAGCTAGGATAGATGTTCTCAGTTTATACCAACACGAGTTCCCTATTTGATAGATTGGCACAGTTTCATGTTAGCATTTTAGTCACTATTTAGCTTGTCTTTTGTAAATTGCTTTGTGCCCTCTTTGCTCTTAGTTCATGTTTGTATAACTCTTTTTGAGCGCCCCATTTGAAAGACGCTAGACAAGAGTGTAGCATTAGTTGCTGTCCTCTAGGGGCGCATCCATCATGCGGTGCAGCGTGGAGAAAAGTTTCGCTTCTTGGGATCCAGATCTGATCTGTGTCAAAGTTGAGTGTCTGGAATGGGGCTTGGGACCTGAGTGGCCTCGTTAGCTCAGATCCGCCTAGAACTACCACTTCATTTCTCCAAGTCAGGCGGGGCGGGGCGCGTCTGCGGCCCCAGCTCCTGTGTTGGCCGTGGACGGCTCCCCTCACCCTGTTTTGTTAGCCTGGGAGTAGCACGGCCTCTGCCGCCTCCTCCCGGGGGCTGTGACATTCCAGCTCCTCCCTCCCGCAGAGCGGGCAGGGGTGGAGACAGGCGGACAATGGCTTTTACCTGTCCCGGAGCGGGAGGAGGAGCCGCCGCCGCCGGAGCAGGAAGGAACAAAGTCAACTCCTGCAAGTTTACACGGGACCGGCGCCGCGAGTAGCCAAGGACTTTCAGGCAGCCCAGCCAAGTCACCCTTTGCCTGGGGAAGACTGCGAGGAGCCGGGGCAGCCCGAGGTCTCCGCCCGGAGGCGGTGCTGCGCCTTTTGGTCGCCCGGCGAGTTGCTGGCCACTTTTCCTGGGG